AATACATTCTTCTAGTGAATTCACAATATAGCTAGTGCAAACAGGGAGAAAGAATATAAATCTAATTTTACTTTTCAGTTCTCTACGGTTTAATATTTAAAAATTCAGGCCTGGCATGGTGGCTCATGCCTATAATCCCAACATTTTAGGAGGGTGAGGCAGGAGGATTGCTTGAGGCCAGGAGTTCAAGACCAGCCTGGGCAACATAAGAAGACCCCATCTCTAGCAAAAAAAAAAAAAGTTTTTAAATAGTCATGTGTGATTCCACATGTCTGTGGTCCCAGCTACTCCAGAGACTGTGCTGGGAGGATCCCTTGAGCACAGGAGGTTGAGGCCTTAGTAAACTGTGATCATGCCACTGGACCCCAGCCTGGACAACAGAGCAAGACCCTGTGTCTCAGGGAAAAAAAAAAAAGGAAAGTCAGATTCTCCCTTGGGAGGAACAAAAAGGAAATAGTCATAATGCTGATTCTTCCATATTTTCAGCCAGCAGAAGAAATACCATACTAATCAAGTGTGAAAAATTCTAATAACTCTTTACAAAAGCCGACTTAATTAAAGTCACCATGAACTGAGTTTTCAGAATTTATTGTATAGATAGACCATTTTTATATCTGCCTTATAGGTACAGTCTAGAAGTAGCCTCTAACTTTCATTAGAGTAGTTACAGAACAATAATTTGCTCGAGTATTTATAGTCTGAAAAAAAAAAAACAAAATGCTACATTCTCTAATTATTTTCAAAATTAAAAAAAGGAAATACAGGCAGTTTTACAATCAGTGAGTCAAGGGCATCACCAACCACTACCAAGCCATTGAACATGACAATTTTGGCTCCTACTTCCCATTGTTACAGCATGTCTCCCAGGTTATAAAACCATATAAAAATTATCAATTTGTTTTTCAAAATTCAACCGGACTGAGTTTTGTGCAATTACAATTTTAATAACTAATAATTTAAATCACCTAAAACGTATATAATTTGAGGTAAAGAATCAGCTATCACGTCAACTCTGCTACAACATCCCAGCATTCTTATAATAAAAGATTCTCTCAATAAGTTTGGAAATGTCCCCAGGGCACCAAGCTAGCAGGCAATTTAAAACCAAATTAATATGCTGAGAAATAATTCCAAACCATGAAAATACTATAAATTAGTAACGAAGTTAAAATTATTAAGGTGGGGTTTATTGTTTTGAATTCTCTGTCTGCATTGTTATTAAATCTTTGTGGACATTTCTTCCTCTGATTTAATAAGACTATCTGATTTGTAAGAAAGAGCTAATATTATATCACACAAATGAAAATACTGATGAACACACCGTAAAACACAATTCCCTGGTTTTGTTTTCTGTAATTTAACTGTGCTACCACAATGCTAAATTCAATACAAACATGTTCTCCATAAAAGAAAATCCAACATCCAAAACAATCCCCAAATGAGAAGCCTGCCCAGCTGGTAGGCCTGCAGATTTAAGAACTGATAAGTTCAGTCTGAAATGTCTATATTTGCAGTGTGCAGCAGATCTGAGACACTATTCCTTTTGTTTGTTTTCCTGGCAGTGGTAGAGTACCATTCATATATTTGAATAACTCAATAATTATGCCCTGAGGGAACTTAAACCAGATTTTTATTTTGAATGCTCCATATTTTCCCATTTTCATCACTGGTAAGGTGGTTAGTAAACTCTCTTTCCACTTTTAAATGGTCAAATATAAACATATATGTGCATATTACAGAATAAACATTTTATATTATGTTTATTTTCCCTATTTTATCCTCTTCCTTCCCATCATCTTGCCCTCAGAGATAAGCACCAGCCTGAATTTTGTATTACACATTTTCTCCCTTTTTAAACACTTTTTTCCATCAATGTAGGTATTTCTAAATAGAATTTTTTCAATTCTTTCAGTTTTAAACTTTAGTTAAGTGGACAAATACTTAGCATTCTTTAATGACTTTATTCTTTTGTTCAAGATTTTGTTTTTGACATTCATCCATGTTGATGTCAGTAGCTGAGATCATTCATTTTCCCAACTATACAGTATACCAAGGTATAAAAATATCACAGTTTATCCTACTGTGGATGGATATTTGAATTAGCTAGTTAGAGACTATTATTAAAACTATTCCTGTGAATAATCTTGTGTGTGACTTTTGTTATACATGCCAACGACTTCCCTCCTACATGTGTAAACATCTAGGAGAGGAAACGCTGGATTGTAGGATACGCAAACGTTCAATTTTACCAGCTAATGCCAAGTACATTGTACCACTTATACTTCCACTAGCTATGGGTGAGATTTCCTGCTGCTCCAGATCCTCACCAGCAGTGGCACTGTCAGACTTTCAAAGTTCTGTCAAACTACTAAAGAGAAATGCTAGATGATAGTGTTGTAAATTTATATTAATTCGATTACTGACAAGGTCAACTAGATACTTACTGATTACATGTGTTACAAAAAATATTCTCCTAGTCTGTGGTTGTATTTTTTAGTTATTCTAAACTAAACAGGAAGGCTTTAATTTTCATGTTCTAAACTTTTATATTATGATTTGCAAATTTTTGACCTGGAGTTCATAAAAAAATCCTTCCCTATTTGTCAAGATTTTCTAATGATAAATTTAAAGTTTTATAGTATGAATCTTTACATTTACCTCCCCCCAAAGAGAACTGATTTATATGCAGATTCATAAAGTAGAATGCCAATTTCAATTAGTTTTCCTCACGAATAGCCAATAGTCCCCCAACCATTTATTGAATACCTTGTCCTTTTCACACGGATCAATGTCACTTGTATAATTTATCAAGTACTCTTTTTCTCTGATGCCCTGCAGTCTCATTAAGATGGGTTTGGTTTTGGATTCCTATGGCTTAACTTTCACAGAATTCTTTTAAATGACTCTGTCTAGGTACTGACTGACATCCTTTAATAGTTCCCGAAAATAATTATCTTTTTTGCATTCACTCTATTTGGAACCTCAGTTGAATATATATTACATCTTTTCACTCTCTCCTCTGTCTCCCACATATTTTATGTTTTACATTCTCTTATTCATATATCCCCATTTTTAAATATCTGAACTTAAAAACTGATAATTTCTTCAGTTCTTTTAATGAACAAATTGCTTCATCTATGTCTAATTTGCTTTTAAACTTATCCACTTTGTTCTCTCTTCTTTTCTAAAGTATTACCTTGATTGCTTAGAAGTTCTCTGGTTCTTTCCCAATTCTTGTCCACTTCTCACAGTTTTCAGCATCTCTTTTATTTCTTATAGTTACGTTAAATGTTGTGATTTTAATCCTGTGTATGATAAGCTTGATGTCCGAAAACATTCCAGATCTGTCTTTCCCATCTATAATTTCCCCCGGTTCTTCCCCATAGTACTTTGTTTTCGTGTGAGTGTGTGACTTTTTTGTGTGTCCGTGTGTGAGTGTGTTACTTTTGTGTGTCTGTGTGTGACTGTGTTGTGTGTGTGTGTGACTTTTGTGTGCCTGTGTGTCTTTTTTGTATGTCTGTGTGAGTGTGTGACTTTTTTGTGTGTCTGTGTGACTTTTTTGTGTCTGTGGGAGTGTGACTTTTGTGTGTGTCTCTGTGTGACTTTTTTGTGTGTCTGTGTGTGTGACTTTTGTGTGTGTCTGTGTGTGTGTGACTTTTTTGTGTGTCTGTGTGACTTTTTGTGTGTCTGTGTGTGTGAGTGTGTGACTTTTGTTAGTATTATGTTATTACCAGTTTTAATAACCTTTATCTTCCAGGCGGGTCAAGTGTAAAAATCCATACTATAAAACTAAAGATCTATCATTAGAAAATTTTGACTTAAGTAGGAATGGATTTTTTTGTGAACTAGTCAGGTCAAAAGGTTACAAATTATAAAAGATATAAATATGTATCATTTAAAACATTAAAATTAAACCTTCCAGCTTATCAAGAAAAAATAAAAATATAACCACAAACTAGGACCATATTTTTTAAAACACATAAAATCTGCAGAGTTTATTTGAAGATAGGACTGAAGTTGACGTCTTCTAGGGGAAACAGTACTTTTAGTTTCCCTCTATCATTGCTAATAACAGGGCTCGTAAGTTAAATTCACCAATTAGGGTTTTTTTCTTTTAAATCTACACACATAGTATAACTGGCATGTATCTCTTGCCTATGAGTTCAGCAAAGTTTATAAAATATTTTTTAACACCTTTAACCCAATATTATCATAATTTTAATCGGATTGTTCAGGGTCCCCAGTCTGCTATAATCCCAGAGCTAGAACGGTACTCGCATTTTTGGCCACTTTTTTCCCATGTGTTTTCTTAACTCTTAGCTGGTGAGCTGCTATAAAAGGGTGGACCTGAATTCAGGTTTACTTCCCCAAACGTAAGATTTCTGGTTTCAAAGTAATGACACTTAATACAATAGATGACCTCACGCATTCCCAGAGGTAAACCTCAGATTGCAGAAGACTATCAGAACCAAGAGTACAACACATCAGGAGCTGGACTTTCCACCGTTTTAAAGTTTTTACAGTTATTAGGCTGCAACCTTCGAACTCTGCCACAAGTGGAACTGCTGAAGTGACCCTGAGGTCTGAAGTTCCACAAGGAAAACCTGTACACTACTTACAGGAAGTCGTGGAGGTCCTCCATTTTCTTCATTTTTTGTATGTTTTACTCCTTGGATTACCTCTAAAACTCCGAATCTCACCATCATTCTTGCTTGAATTTGGTGACCTGGTCACTGGCAGTAACCCTTGGGTCTAACCTTTCAGCTCTTTCTTTCCTCCACAAGTAATTTGCCTTCCACACAACTTTTCCTATCTTGGAACATATTCCGTTTGTTCTTTTCCTGGATTTATAGAGTTATCTCTAGTCATCACTTGTCCTCCTTAAGCACCCAACTTGTCAGGATCTATAAATTATAAAAAGTAGGACTTGGAATGGAATTACTTGCCTCCTCCAGTGAATGCTGCACTTACTACTCAAACCAGATAGCTGGGAGGCTTACCTGAATCGGTCTTCCATCAGGTGTCAGCACCTCTTCTGAAAGTTCCATCATCTTCAAGGCCATCAGGGCAATGGGTTTAGCATGGCAGAGGCTTTTTCTGTGGAGTCCAGCTGCCACACAGTAGGCATCACCTATTGTTTCCACCTGCATCCATCAGACAAAGAAAATGCAAACGTATGATAATGAGCCCAAAGAAAAATGATTAGATATCTGCAATCGCAAATGTTGCTGAAAAACATGTCAGCAAAACATCAATAAATTAAGCAATTAGACAACTGTGTATAATTACAGCAGAGTTTGCAAACAGCCACAGTCAAATACTGACATCTCACTCCAGGGCTGTTCGTTAACATTATCACCAGAGATGATCACTGAAATTAGGAACAACTGTAATATAAAATAATTATCCCCCACAAAAATAGAACTGTCAGTATTTTGCCTAGATCACTTCCAAATAATTGCCTTTTGCAGAGCCATTCCTTCATCTTCCAATTCCAAGTAGTCTTTTGGAAAGTATTTTTCCCCAATTTTTTCATCTGAAGAAAATTGTTCCACACTTTTAGATATATCTGCAATTTTTTGTCATGTATGTTCTTTCTTACTCTTAAAACATTATGTAATGCTTAATGTTTCTTAAATATTCATACTCTATGAGTCAACTACTTTTTGTACATTGTCCCATTTTATCTTCACAAATATCATGCATGAAAGAAACAAGTATTGGGCCAGGCTTGGCGGCTCATGCCTGTAATCCCAGCACTTTAGGAAACTGAAGATCATGAGGTCAGGACATTGAGACCATCCTGGACAACATGCTGAACCCCCATCTCTACTAAAAATATAGAAATTAGCTGGGCATGGGGGTATGCTTGTAGTCCCAGCTACTTGGGAGGCTGAGGCAGGAGAATCACTTGAACCCAGGAGGTGGAGGATGCAGTGAGCCCAGATCGCGCCACTGCACTCCAGCCTGGAACACAGCAAAATTCCATCTCAAAAAAGAAAAAAAAAAGAAAGAAAAGAAAAAAGAAACAAGTATTAGTGACATTTGAAAGATGAAAAATTGAGGTGCACAGATGTATCCATAACCATATAATTGAGAGGAGCAGGTACTATGGGGTCTTTCTAGACACTCTTCTAATTCTGTCGTCAACATCCATTCTGAATGCCCATTGCTGCTGATAAATATTTTAAATATTTACTGCATGTTAAAACTCCCAAATTTCCAAAGCATAGCACATGGGATAAAGTTCTATTATTTCAGAGAAAGGTTCTCTAGTTATCCACAATAGAGGTGGTGGTACTAATGGCAAAAATGCAATTACTTTCACACCAACCTAATACAATCCTCAATAGTGTTAATATGATTAATTAGGCCAAAGTGATGAAAAACTGTACTAAATGCACAATTTCAATGTCGCTTTTCCTGTAATGTGCTCCATGTTCCTTCCGGGAGTTTCCATCAGATAATTTATCAAAGAACTGATCCTTTCTTCATTCTGTTTCAGCAGCACTTCCACATCGCTCTGCTCTAACATTCAGCACAGGCTATAATCCACATGTATCTATATAAACCCAATACACATCCCTGGCTATGACACGGGCTTTTAAGAAATGAGACCGTGGGTTTATTTTTCTATTCATCTCTGTATTCACAGAGCTTAGCACAGTGTCTATAACATAGCTATTTAATAAATATCTAATATTTATAATATCTGCTAAATGAATACGTTAACCATGTTAACCATAATTACAATAAGTGATTTTAACTGTTTGCTTATTTTCATCATTCATTTTACGAGCACCATTTAGATCTGTGTGCTGTGTAGATCTGTATAGGAAAAATATGCATCAGTGATAGAGATGATTCCAGCATAAATATACCAAGACTTATAAAATATTCTGTTATTTTTAATATCAAAAATTAGATTTCCATGGAGAAGCATTCTAACACCATGGTATTAAAGAGATATATGCATGAAATTATATGAGCTCCGGTTTAGGGAACATTGTGAGAACACTTAAGAAGCTCGTGGGACCAACACTGCGAAACTTATCACTTGATCATCAGGAAATATGCATCCAAGCTGATTCAAGTACCCCCAGATCTATTGTTATATTCAAAAATTTCACTCTGACTTGTTTTCTGACGCCAGAAAAATCAAAATAAAATTATACTGTAGGAATAGAAAGACAGTGCAATATGAGTTGACAAAGGTTTTATTCCAAAGACTAAAATATACTTCCTGGAAATAATGCTCACTAAGGAAGACACCCATCAAAGAATAAACATTTAAAATGTGGCTATTTAATAATTTTCCCTTAATAAGACAATGTTTTTCACTAATCCTCACATTATCCCACACTTTCATATTTGTATACACTTTAAAATCCCATGATGCTATTAGCTGTGTACCTGGAAATATATTTCTGGTTTTCAGATAACAGAACATATAGTCAGTAAATTGCCTGCACAAACCCAAATGCTTTGCAGTCACTCTTAACATGCAAGTTCCTAGAGCACAATCACTTCCTGAAATGTCTATCATCATCCTCATCCGCATCTGCATCTCAATTATCTTTTCAGAGAAACATGCATTGAATTCCACTAAATGTGCATTTCTAGAATTTGCACAAGAATACATGGAGATTAGTTATATGTTGCACTTTCTCCTTAGGAGTGTGTACTGTAATTGCATATAAAAGATGGACCACTATGTTATCAACTCATATAACATATAAGTGAATGAAGTACAAAATAAATACAGGCACAAAGTAAATATAACAAATTCATATTTATTACAATCCATACATGATTGTATACAACTTTAAGGCTAGGCATGGTGGCTGACACCTGGAATCCAAAAATTTTGGGAGACCAAGGCAGGAGGACTGCTTGAGTCCAGGAGTTCAAGACCAGCTTGGGCAACACAGTGAGACCTCAATCTCTACAAAAAAAATTTAAAATTTAGCCAGGTAAGGTGGCTCTTACCTGTAGTCTCAGCTACTTGGGATCACTAGAAACCAGGAGATCAAGGCTGCAGTGGGCTATGATTTCACCACCACACTGCAGACTGGGTGACAGAGTGACAGCAAGACCTTTCTCTCTCTCTCTCTCTCTCTCTCCATATATCTATATCTATATATAGATATATACATATATATATACAGATCTGTATATATATTATCTATATCTATATAATACATATATATCTATATCCATATAAATCTCTCTCTCTCTCTCTCTCTCTCTATATATATATATATATATATACACACACACACATATATACATGAAAACATTTTTTAAGTTTTTATATGTTGGGTATTGATAAATAATTGTGAGAATTTCACTTCCTAATATGTGTCACCGTTTTTTTGATGTCTATGCCTTTTCCAGCTCTTTGGTCCTGTTATTTCTCATATTTGGAAACTAAACATATGTATTTAGTATGTACACCAAATATATGTATGTACATACTAAATATATGTATATGTGTGTGTATATATATATACACATACTAAATATATGCATGTGTATATATATACATACTAAATTTGGAAACTAAATATATGTATTAGTATGTATACTAAATATATGTATATACTTACTAAATATGTGTACATACTAAATACATATGTGTGTGTGTGTATATACACACACATACTAAATTCATATATTTAGTTTCCAAATATTAGAAATAATAGGACCAAAATGCTGGGAAAGACATAGACATCAAAAAAACGGTGACACATATTAGGAAGTAATATTCTCACAATTATTCATCAATACCCAACATATAGAAACTTAAAAAATATTTTCATAGGCTAGATTATGATGCAGTAACAATATAACCTCCAAATCTTAATGCACTAAATCAGCAAACGTTTTTTTCTCATTCATTCTGCATATCCCTTTGGGTTAAGAGATTGGGTGGAGGACGAAACCCTGGGCCACAGCTCTTCTCTTCAGGAACAATGCTATTAGGACCTTCACATCTGGAACTAGTTGCCACAGCAGAAGAAAAGAGGTTCTGACTAACTGTACAGGAGCCCTTAAAGCTTCCTCCCAGATGTGACATATACAGCTTCTTTTTGTGATTCATTGACCAGAGCAAGCTGCATGGCTATGTTCAACATATAGAGAATGGGAAATGGCAGACGACCTTGTGCCCAGAAAAGAATAGTCAGAAATACAGAAATATTTAGTAAATAGCATTAACGAAGACATGAATGAAGAAATAATCACGTACACATTCTCTAATATCAAAATGTCCGGAAAGTTTGAGAGATTCACATATACATTAAGCGAGGTCTACGTAATATCTATCTGTGGGTTTTTTTCTCTCCAGATATATTTGGCACCTTAAGAATTTTGGCAGAAACATAACTGTCTTAATGCAGCTTTCCATGAATGCTCCATTTTTCTCTCTTCTCCCTTCCTTTAAGGCAGCTCTAAATAAGTTGAGCAAAATTAAACATATGTGGAAATGTTACTGGATTCCTTTGAAGTAATTAGTGGGTTTTGCTTCAAAAGGAGCAGGAAAAGTGAAAGTGGTATACATCAATTCCGTTGCTCCTGAGTTTATTTCCTTGAGCTAAACCAAAATGAAACAAGTGGACATTGTAAACAGACTACAAACAAAAAATGTCCAAAGAGTTGGCTTTGTTCTGGATTCTTTTATAATTGCCTCAGTGTTTTTATATAGTTTTAAACACAACAGACACAGTTGAAAATAGTGCATTTCATTTATTTTCACCATCTCCCACCTGTTCGTGAATGGCACTGGATAAGAATAAAGATGGCTAAACTAAGCATGGAGATGGGAAAACATAATACTTATGCAAATGTCGGAAAAACTTACGTTATTTTCTGAACAGAAAAGAGGAGGTTTGAGTACTAAAAATATGTACAACTGCTGCCTTACATATTACTATAGCTGCTTTTACAAAACTTTAAAGAATTTGCCTATCTCAGTTCATCTTTTCTCTAAACTTTAGAATCTAAATCCTCACATTATTCCAGAACAGAAATAAAGGTGATGTAAATAAATTTATTAGAGCTATGCATTCACCTTTTGTGTGTGTGGGGGGGGGGGGACAGGGTCTTACTCTGTCACCCAGACTGGAGTACAATAGCATGATCT